CCTTCGCGGTCCAAAATTTTTTCCCTCGCGAATGGTCGATTTAATACCACTGGGAACTTACGACTAAAGGATCAGCCCTTATTAATATTCCCCCCGTTTTCCTGTGAAGATTGGAAGGGTCGACGGGGAAAGAAGTGGCCTCCCGTCGCCACCAACGAAGCTTTCGTTAACGAACCCCACACTGCGCGCCTACGAATCAGTTTTGATTCCCTCGACGTGATTATTGACGTTCCAAAAGGAATCTCTGATCGTCGTGGTAACCTTTGATTACCAACGTAATCGTTAAGTCGATTCGCATAATAAAACTCATCAGAAGGCTCGCTGAACCCAGTTACTGCAATTACTCAATATATAATTTATATCCTAAGTTTATTAGTATGTAGCTAATCACAAAGGTATTTTTATATCTTCCCATTCGAAAACGATTGATATTCTTTTGCAAAACACAAGTTATATAATTTTTTACAATAACATAGGTAGCTAACAGTATTAACGACTTTCGATTAATATGACTTTTATTGCAAAATAATAGTATCTTAAAATCAAAACAGAAATTTAGATTGATATAGTAAATATACTATGACAAAAGTAGATATTACATTCGTATTAACAAAACATCGTTTAAATTAAATGAAAATCAATTAAACCAATATTAAATAATAAAAATGGAAATATAAATTCATATTAAATAATACAAATCGAAATTTCTACTGTTGCACTGAATTATTATGGTAACATGACGTTCATGCTAATTGAAGTATTTATTCAATATTTCTATTATTTATTACACTTTGCAATTAATTAATATTTCTTTAATCTGTTAACTGTGGAATTTAGTCTAAAAAATCTCTTATAAAATCAATAATGATAAAAACCTCAATAAAATGAAAGAATTATGTGTATACTCGTCAAATGCAATTAAATGGTTAATAAGCTACTAATAAAATGCAAATAAAAAAATATCTTCTTAAATTAGAAATTTAAGTAACAGTCCGGATAAGAGTGTCGCTCATTAATTTTATCTCGTTGAGAAACCTTTTGGTAATGTACTAAATTCAAAGTCGCACGCACACATGTCATTTGTTAAGTAACGGATTGTTGCAAAACTGCAACACGTCACGACACAGCCGCCTACTTTCATCGCCAATTCCTCTTTTGTACTGACTCGCCCTCTGGTTTCGATATCGTAAATATATCGGATAACCACGGAAGGACAAGAAGTGCTTCCGAGATTGACGACGGTCGATTTTCTGCCTATAGGGGAACTGATAAAAATCTTATCGATTTTTGTCACTGACCCCGGGGAATACGCTTCTGATTCGAGCTTCTGCTATTCGTGTAACGTTGAACCTTTTTTCCTATGATTCATTTAATCCTTTACTGTATAATAGCGGGACTAGTGGTGAAGATTTTTAGAACAAGTTAATGAAAGTCAATGTTATTTACTTTATATAGATAGAAGTGAAAAATTATTCAATAATTCTTAATGTTTTTATCTTCGAAATAAACTTCCACTTATAATGAACTGGACATTTTTTGTATTCTCACGAATTGTTGATAGTAAAATTAAGAAAATTGTATATCAAGGGATTAAAAGGTTAATGATAGAAGTACCGAACAGTGAAACTGGCTGGTTTGTATTTTCTTATGTATATTGTAAAAATGCATTTATTGAGATTTCCATTCACTTATATTTATTTTAATTTATACATTATATCCATAATTAAAAAAAATCATCTGTATTTCTTCAATAATTTTATAAGAAGTTATACTATTTGATAGTTCTAATGTTAAGATATCTAAGGAAACTTGTGATTAATGTGAAATTGTGAACTTTATTTAAGTATATTATAAACTGTAAAAATAATTTGCTATATCTTCTTTGGTAAAGCGTTCATGTAAAATATGTTTTTATTGGAATGCCCAACTGGTGTACATGTTTTCGAGAAATCAAATTAATCGAAACAGAATTTCGAAGTAGGTATAAATTATGTTATACATTTTTTGTAAGCATTGACAATTGAGTTTTCTGATTTTTTTAAAAGTTGCTCAGATGACGAATCTTAAACCTTTCAAGATTTAATATTGGATTTCGTCATAAAATATTTCACTTTATTGTCTACATACTAAAAATTAACTAAGAACTTTTTAAGAGTCAATTCATAATGAGGAAATAACGTTGGAATACATATGTATAATGTAAAAGTTTCAATATAATCAAATAAATAAAATTCGAGCAATCTTATACAACGTTTTGAAATATATACTACTGAGAAAGTTGAATATGATTCAACATACAGCTATGCGTATTAGCTTTCAGCTGTTTAAACTAGTTTATATTAATGAGTATTAACGAGTGTTTAATCTAATTGTACAAAATGATAGCGTGTTAAAAAGGACACGTTAAATCGGATTACAGAGAATATGCAATATAGAATGGCAATACACAAATACGTGATCGATCATGATTATCGGGTAAATAGTCATCATGCATAACGTGTTAATATTGTCTCGTTGCGTAACGATTGCATAGTTATCATAAAAATGATGTAATTAATACGTAATGTATTAAACCAGTTACTTTTAACATGTGATGTGGAAACGAAATATTTGTACATTTGTTTTATTGTAATCATTTGATTGAAAAAACGGCATATGGGTATAACCTAAATGTTTAAGTAGATACCTTGTTATACAAAAAAATAATACAATTTTTTACGAACGTCAATAATACAACATTAAAAAATAAAGCAAAAGAATGGAAGTTCTTGTGGTCGGAGAAGTATTTGACCACTGTTGCACTGATAATTAATATAGTGTTAAGGTTTTATTTGGGTACATGTGTACATTTATTGATTGGAACAGTTTATATAGATATAATATAATATTGAGTTATTATGATAACAGTTATAAGTAACATTTTCACATAACGATGTTCTTGGCGCGAAAACACTAAGCGCGTGTTACCCCATACCCAAGCACAAGCGGAAGGGAAGAAAAAACTTATATCTAAAAGAGCATCGTCGATACAACGCCCTCATATATATATATTCTATGTTGTTCCCACTCATGACGGTCACTTTGAATAATCATAAACTATATTTTCCAACATACAGTAATTGGAGATTTAATATTGACGTATTGTACGAAAAATAACAAATAAGTTATTTATAAACGTTATA